CTGCTTTTGAACACTGTGAATGCTGCCTTTGAACACTGTGAATGCTGCTTTTGAACACTGTGAATGCTGCCTTTGAACACTGTGAATGCTGCCTTTCGGATAATGACTTTTGTCCTCTTCTGGTCAGTCTTCTGGGTCACAGTCCGTGAGTCACATGTGCTGAGACCTGATTGGCTCATCTGCTTCTTGAGCTGCGACCTCGACCTGCTGTTTGTCATCAGTAACGCCTATGAAAGAAGAAATATACAGTTTACCATCCAACCATCCATCCATCCATCTTCTAACCACTTATCCCAGTCAGGCTTGTGGGGGGTGAGGGTCCCTGGAGCCTATCCCAGGCGGCGTGGAGCACAGGGCTAAAGTATGCCCTGGACGGGATGCCAGTCTTTCGCAGATGTACAGCGAATCCCCCCAAGAAAGGCTTTATGTGAGCAGCTGTTACTCATTTGACCAAATGCTTGCTTAAACTGCATGCGTGAGGAGGAAGGAACACTGGTTTATTGTGGGAGAATTTCCATTGTTATATGAAGTTTTAATTAGAGTGGAGAAGAATTCTGGAAGTTTCCAGTTGTCCAGTCCCGCCTCTGTGGGCTTTGCAGGGTGCCCCCCCCCCCAGCCTGTGCAGCGTCTGTGATGATTCCAGTGACTTCCTATAGCTCTGGGTGCCGGCCCCCGATTCCGCGTCCTCGCTGGCCCCGAGCTTCCACCCTTAACCCATCCTCCTGCCATTGGCGCTCAGAGCTGTTGACTCATAACAGGACCCACCAAAGTACATCTGTCGGCTTTGAAAGCATCTAGAGCCACGTGACCCCAACGAGGGTTCGGAACGACCCCGGCGCGTATGGAGGGGGGGGCAGGAGAATCCTCGGTGGAGCTGACGTTGGATATAAAGAGGCAACGCGATGCTTGTCCCCCACAGAAACATCTGCAAGCCATTATGTCCATGGCCTCCAGAAAGACCTCCTGCAACAAGCGAGCGGCGATGTGCAGCAGGACAGGCGGGGCCCTGGGCTTCCTGCTTATCCTGGTTATCCATCAGGTAAAAGGACATCTACTTTAAACTCTTATGCATGGAATATTATTTATCAGCATTCGTTAATGTAGTTTAGGTTATCCTCTCTTTAATTCAGGATAAAGTAGATTAATCTTAAAAATACTACTGCAACTGTTATGAAACTATAAATATGACTAATAAAAGTTAATAATATGGAGAAAATGACACAAATGTTTTTCATTGATGTCATTTTTAATATACTGCACACGTCTGTGAGAATATAGTGGTGTGATTCTAAGAACAAACTTTCGTTAAGGTGCAGTTTATTTTTGTAAAATATCCGCTCCGGTTAAGTGTGATTTTTCTTTTTGGTTTCTGTGAGCTGTGGTTGATGTTTAGGAATTTGAATGTATCATACGAATCTGAGTTTACGATGAAGGTAATGATAAGCCAATCCATTATTCAGCTGCTTATCCAGTAGAGTTGGGCTTTTGGTCTGTACTGTCCCACATGGAGAATCTCCGCTGCTGTGTATGTGACAGGTGTCCAGCAGCGGAAGGTCAGACTCGGCCGAGAAGCCGGTCCACAGAGAATCCACGTGGCTACTGAGACAGGCAGTGCGCATGACGCCTCTGTGGAGGACCCTGGGAAGCAAGCCCTTTGGGGCCTTCTGCAGGGACAGCTACGAGTGCTCCACCCGAATCTGCAGGTGGGCTGCCAGCCTCTGCGTTTCAGCTGCGTCTGCGTCTGCTTTCATTGTGAAACTAACAGAATCAGAACCAGAACTTAATTCATTGCCAGTATGTATGACATCACAATTGGTTGTGGTCCACTGCCAAAAATAGAGATAACAATTTTACATGACATACAGGATAAACATTCCACAAAATACTATGTGTAAATAATAGGGTGACCACCTAATCCATATCAGGGTGGATTCTTTTTGCAGTGTGGATTGTTTCCTTGATTGAAAGACTCATCTAGCTGTTTCACATTATCATTAGTGAAACATGCATGATTATAGTAGACTGACCAATCAGCATGTGGTAAGAACTCAGTGTTTAAGTGAATTCCAGGTCCATCTCCTCTTAATCCCAACTGGGATCACCAGAGCCTATCCTGGGAACAATGGGCTCAGGCAGGAACCTGTGGGAACCCTGGGAAGGAGCCCACACACACTCACAGGGCCAATTTAGAGTCACAAATTAACCTACACACACACTTGGACCGTGGGAGGAAACCAGAGCCCTTGGCAGAAACCCACATGGACATAAGAAGAGCATGCAAACTCCGCACAGAAAGGACCTACACGCAACCCAGGGACCGAAGCCAGGACCTTCTTACTGGGAGGCAGCAGTGCTAACCACTGCACCACTGCACCACTGCGAAAGTCAGGTCCTTGTATTTGAAATACACGTAGGGATACAAATAAGAATACAAAAATTTACAGTAGACACAGTGCAAGACATAAATATGAGTAACAAAGTGCAAGAACAAAAAAAATAACAATGGTTGTTCACCATAGTGCAAGTTGCCCAAAAATGATATTGCATGCATCATGTCTGCCAATAGGAAGAGGGGAAATGTCCCTGGGTGAACGGATGGCACCTGGGTCATATTTCACCACTATATCATCCTATTGTTCGCCTCTTCTTAGGAATGGTCATTGTGACTTCCACCAACCAGACATGTCGTGAAGATAGACAATGGAGGGAGAAGAAAAGTCTCAAGGAGGAACTGGAAAGCTGCTTTTTACACTTTACATCTACACTCTGAGATTAACGTAGGGGGTGAACGAGCAAAATCCCGAGGCTTTATTCTGATCCTTTTGAGAGAAATGTGTGTTGTGGCAGCATGCGAACATTTTTTTGAGGTGGGTGTAGTTCATCGTATATTAGTCTATAGCAGTGTTTCTCAACTCAGTCCTCAGAGACCCCCATTCGGTTCACGGTTTTGCTCCCTCCCAACTCCCTACCCCGGAGCAAAAATGTGGACTCTCACAGCTGAGGGAGCTGAGAGGGACCAAAAACACGGACCGTCTGGGAGTCTCTGTGGACCGGCTTGAGAAACACAGCTTTAGACTGTACAAAGGAAGCCAGGTGTGTCATTTGGTTGGTAATAGCGCTGGTTTGGAGGCGACTGCCTGAAATAATAGCATGTGTGTTGCTGGTATGCAGTTTGACATGTGCACGAGCTATAGCTGCCTACAGTTGAAACCTGGACTTACTTAAAAAACATGGGTAACAGCAAATATGGTGCCTAGCTTTGGAATGCGGGACAGACTGCTCCCTTTGTATCTGCAGGATTTTGTCTGCCCCTAACGCTGACCCCACGTTCCTTACTACCACAGCAGTCATTCCTCCGGAGAGGACGTTACACCATGTAATGTGTTATATTATTCACTGCATTGAGGGATGTGAGACTGTTCACTGGGTGTCGCAGTGGTTATGTGCTGCATGGCCCATGAGTGGTAAAGCTTTGGAACTTTACATCTCTATGGTTTGTAAGCAGAAACAGGAGTGAAATACCACGTGGAATGTGAATTGAGACGGTAACACGATGAAGGTAAACTATTTGAGGAATTTGTCTGGGTGAAATTCCATGTATTGTCCACTTATTTAAAGAAAACATACTCATATATATGTCCGTGCTAGTTACTTTATGTTTTTGTCCTGTCATTGTACTGTAATTTAATTTGTTTTAAATTTGCAAGTATACTGTCTATCAACAACTTGAAATAAATAAAATCAGAATTAGAAATTAAAACATTCTGTCAGTGTTTAAAGTTTAAACTCTGAGTTTGTTCCCTGGTGTGCCTTAGTTTGCCAAACTGTCTTGTTATTAAGAAGCGAGGGGAGGGCAATCTGGGGGGGGTCTGCCCAGCTGCCACGAGTCCCAACGCTGCTCTAAACACCCGCTGTTTGCATGTTCTTTCTGCTTTATAGGTTATTTTAAATCAGTCATTATACAAATAGAAATATGAGGACTGCTGCACATGTGTTATTGAGACAGAGGGGACAACATCACGTGTTTATTAAAATCGGAAAAGTAATGGATAGTTGCAGTAGTACTGCCATCTAGTGGGCAATTTTCAGAAAAAGAAAAATATCCACTAATCAATCCATCCATCCATCCATCCATCTTTTTCCTGGTCAGGGATACAGAGGGGCACAAGGTTAGAGTACACCCTGGATGGGATGCCAGTCCATCACAGGACACAAGCAGTCACACAGAAAAGCAGGCAGTACACGCGTCAATAAACCATACTGCATGTCTATACACGATCAGAGAAAATTGGCAAACATTTAATACTTTAAAAATTCCTTCTGTGTTAAAAAGTGAAAGGAGACTTTATTTGCCATTTTACAAGCATGAGAACAGACACATTGGGAAGTATTTCTTCACATATACCATCCTGACATACACCGGGGTGACAGCAAAGCTTTGGCTTTGGGGACAGGGGCAGCCATACATTCAGCAGCCGTGGAACATTTTTAGGGGGTTATGGCCACAACAGAGATGTGGTTCTTCTATGGAGCATGAGATTTGAGCCAACAACCTTCTGATCACAAGCACACAGGCCTTATCCATTACACACCATGGCCATAAAAGTCTCTTTATATTAATAAAGATGTTACTATTCTCTCAACCGGGGGAGCTTCTAGTCACTGGCTTAGAGCCTCAGACTACAAAGAGTGACCCTGATGTGATTTGAACACACAACCTTCTGATCTGGAGTCAGACGCGCTACCATTGCGCCACAGGGTCAAGGCTTATTGCAGTCTTATGATCAAGTGCCACTGGACTATCTGCTAAAATCTAAAACAAACAGCCTATATTAAAGCTGCAATACTATGAATTCATAGAGAGAATAAATTTATGAATCAACTGTTTATCATTTATAAATTAATAAATATACAGCAAAACTAAAATAAAATAGTTGTGTGTCTTGTGGGCTATAATGCAAGTTATGCATTTATTTGTTGTATTTATCATGTCTGTTTATTTGGAGCTGACTGGTGAAAAAACATTCCAAAGATATTTAAGTTTGCAAAACTTGTCAGACTATCAGGATAATGTAGTAATTAGACTGAACCCCATTATTTTGCATATAATGCAGGGCACAGGACTGAGCAATATAAACAATATATACACTTATTGTCATATAAAATTTAAACAATTAGAAACTGAGGAACTTTGACAAACTGTCTATATGAGGCATTGTTTGATAGCGCGTGTCAGCCTATCACATCACAGAGGGCAACACAATTACAGCCAATCAAATGACAATATTTTAGCTATATCTTTTTTTGATCAAATTTGATGGAATACCAAGGTTGGTATCGCCAGTACTGACCCCGATATCAATATTTGGATCCAGCCCAACCCTGACAGTAGAATTTGACTGGGGGGGTCGATAGCTCAATTTCCCCACTGGGGCTCCGAAAGTCTTCCCCTTTCTCCCCCCATATGGGCGACCCTGTATGGCCGGCTCTCTACAATAATATAAACATTTAAATTACCAGATCTAAAAAAAGTGTCTATAACGTTGATGATTCTCAAAATAAGACATTAAAATTGAAAGAATCGATATTTGAGTATTGATCTGCACATCCGTACTTCAAATCCCTGTCCTCAGTAAAGAAAAGTCGGCCAGGCTTATTGGCAACCAGAAGGACACAAATATAACCCTAAGCTTAATGTATTATTGGTGAGCTTCTGTAACAGCTGAGGCCAGATTAATATCAGAATCTATGTCATGGTTATTCAAATCACGATCCTCAAGGGCTGAGCCCTGCTGGTTTTCCAGCCTTCCTCTACCTGTGAGCTGGGTATGAAGCCTCTGGCCAATCAGAATCAGTAATTATTAAACCAACTACCTGGGAGAACTGAAAACAAGGCCTGGATTTGGATTTGAGGTCCAGATTTGAAGATCACTGATCTATGTACTGAATGGAGTTTAATCTATGTATATTTCACTGATAATGATGATACGACATTGTAGGATATTAGTATTGGTTTAATTACTAAATAGGCCTGTTTATTTACAGACAATTGAATATCTATATGGGGTAGTGCAGTGGCTGAGTTTCTGCCAGGGTTCCATGCGTGTGGAATTTTGCATGTTCTCCCCGTGGTCATTCTGAAATATGCAAAGGTGATTCAGAATTATCAAACTGTTCATCCTGGGTTGCTCCTGTAGGTTCTCCGATAAGGTTCTATCTCTCTGACCCAATAATTTGTGCCCATGAGCTTTCCCTTCCTCCTGTCCTGGTTGCAGAGAGGGAAAACCCCATGCAGTGCTGCATCTCTCTCCCTGCACAGGCCGCAGGCCACGCCCACCAGCACCGTTTGGAGCAGGACCAACAGGAGGTCCAGCAGGTGGTGCTGACAGGCCGGCTGGCCCAGGGACACCACAGTCGGCAGAATCCAATCGCGATCCAGCTACACACACTGGGCCACATGGCATCCAGGCATGGGCAGAGGCAGAACAGCCCCCCCAGTGGGCACGTCGGTCGATGCAAAGAAGATAGTACTGCTTAGTGAGGTAGGTGAGGATGAAGCTACAGAGTCCCATGATGGGGGGCGAGCAGAAGGAGAAGAGGCACCATCCTGCTGCGTTTCTCAGTCTCTGTGATACACTGCTGGCAGCACAGCGGTATCAGGACTGGGATCAGCGAGGCCAGGGCCGCCGGAACCGCCTCCACACCTGTCACCGCCACCACTGCCGCTGCCGGACCCCAACCCATGCCCAGGTCACACAATGCCATGTAGGGTCTCTTTAGGAGCGAGTCACAGCCTCCAGGAGGAGCTTCATCCCCTGAAAAGCTGCCATCCACCCGGGAGAGAATGAGGAATATCAAGGGGCCACCGGCACATAGAGAAATAAAGAGAACAGAATCGTCTTATGGGTGGAAGAGGCTTTAGTCCAACAATGCAGTGCTGTGCTGGAGGCATCACAGGTCACAAAGTGAGCAAATGACAAACAGAGCAGGTCACAAACTGAGCAGGTCACAAAATGAGCAGGTTACAAACGGAGCAGGTCACAAAGTGAGCAAATGACAAACAGAGCAGGTCACAAACTGAGCAGGTCACAAACTGAGCAGGTCACAAACAGACTGTTCCAACGTCTGAGCAGTGTACTTAGAGTGTGTGATTGCAGGCACGCTGTTAAAAAGCAGAAAGCACCACTGGACAAAGTCAACAAGCTGAACAGCTACAAGAGTGTCACAGTATGTGTGTGTCTGTGAGAGAGAGAGAGAGAGAGAGAGAGAGAGAGAGGTGAAAGGCAGTCACAACACAAAGCACCACCATGTATATTTGTTTGTTTTTGTTTGTTTGTTCATAACAGTGAGAGAAAAGACAGCAGATTGAGTAAGAGACAGTTGTGCTTATGACTAAGACAGATCAGATGGAAAGGTGAAGCAGTATGTGTAGGAGCCCAGGACACCGGCAAAACAGAAATGAAAATTGCCTCAGACACATTGTCGCACATGCATGAGCCCCCACACGCGTGTTAGACTGAGCACGCATCCTGTTACCACTGAGAGCCCACAGAAAAACTGCATTCCTCAACAAATAAAATGCAGCATCTGCTTTTTAGGCAAAATTCATCAGCACAACTGATACGCTAGAATGCTTTGAAAGAAATAAAAATTGTTGAGGGCTAACGGTAAATTTTTGTAAATAAGTAGAATATAAAAAACAAAAACTTTGTGTAGCAGAAAGTACCACTGGTTTGCATGAGGAAATGAAGTGAAGGCCAGACCACCGTAAGGATAAGGACTAGTTAATTTTGGGTTCATAGCCATCTGATAATTAAATCCACTCTTATTATTTAGCAAGATAGGCTGCACCTAAATTAGGAGACTCAAAGTGCAACACCCCCTCCTGGTATAAAGGAGTTTTACAGTCAGCACTTCAGCACATTTCATATAGCCTAATATTTAATTTGGCTTCATTCGTCACTCCCCAAAAAATAGGCCTTTATATTTAAATTATTAAGTTCCCCCCACCCCATATCAAACTCTCTGCAGGTCTTACTGAGGGGTGCTCGGCGATGACTATTATGACAGTTGTCATCTTGCTGTTTGTGTCCTCGAGAGTAAATAAAACCGAGATACTCATCTCAGGGGCTGGCAAAGTTGTGTGACAGGACTGCTTATTCACCACGGGCGCCCTAGCGCAGGCGGGCCAGCAGGGGGCTCACTGACTGAGAGAGTGGGTTTATGCCCTGGAGCCTGTCAGTTAGTGGCAAGCCACAGCTGTGGGACGCCTTGATCAGCCGTTCGCCTGTGTCGCTTCAAAAGAAACACACATGCGATAAATCTGAAAAATGTGGTAAAATTTCGAGTCACTTTGGGAAGAGAAAAAGCAGATCAATAATTAAATCAGGCAGATACATTCACAGTCAGCCTGCTGACACCACGCATGGCCTATAGATGGCAGCACAGCTCACCTGCCTTGTTCTTCCACAGCTGGACTAAGTTGAAAAGTTCAAGTACAGCAGAAGCACGGTAGACAGTCCGTGCCAAGCAGAAACGCCCACACCTGCGGCAGCGACGGGGACACCTGCAGGTAGGTGTCTCACCCGTCTGCTCTTCCTCGCTCAGATGACACTGTCAAGTAAGGCTTCATCCTTAGGGTCTGATCATCAAGACAGCGACAGCGCTACAGGTAGATGAGCGAGTTTTCCAAATCGGTAACAGCACTGCAGAACAAACGGCAAAGGCGAACAACAACATGTTGCATAAGATGTGCAAAAA